CCAGGATACACAGATTCAGGAAGTGATGTAAATTGCGCTCAGAGGACAAAGAGAGGATTCATAAAGGCAGAAATGACAAAATGTAATTCTTTCATGCAAATGAAGGGTTACTGGCTAGGTTAACAAGGCTTGGTTAGTCCCACTATGCAAACAAGGGGGGCAAAAACTACAAGAAAGAGGTAAAGTCCATGTGTCCATGCAGTGGTGGTTGTTCCAGGATATTTATGACTCAGCATTGAGCTGAGTTTAGCAACAGTTTGAGCAACTTGATAGCAGAGCAGCTGAGAACTGAGGCCAAATGGAATAGGCTGCATAGGCCCCACTTTCTTAACAGCCTTCTGACTCCATTTTAGCTCCCCTGCCCCCATATTAGTGACTTTAGCTGAGATAGTTCAGTTCAAACATTTTAAATTTTAATTTATTTTTGAAAGTCTATTGAGTCTAGGTCTTTTTCTTTGCCTTATCCCCCTAACACCTTTTGGATTGTAGGTGCTGAGAACTGAATTAATTATATCCCTTAGCTCCATAACACATTATCATCATCAATACATGCAAGATCCTTTTTTGGTTTTGTTTTTACCCTTCATTTCTAACTTCATCCTGTATCTGTTATGGGAGAAATGTCGTTCTTGCTGACACAGTAAAGAATTACAGATCAGCAAGTCTATTAGTATGCAAGCAGGGTTTACAAGTGATACCTGTTCTCATGGAAAAGAACGGGCCTAGCTGAGGTGCAGAAGAAAGGCAAGAGCATGGGTGACAAAAGCCAGGGTAGCAAGAGCATCAAGACCTTTGTCTTGAAGATTCATATAGTTGGTGGGATAGGGATGAGGGAGTTACATATTGATTGGTGGATAAAGGTAGTGCCAGCTTCCCCCAGGGGCTATGATAGATATATGTGGTGGTCTGTTAGCCTGAATCCTTATCTTGCTCCAGACCCCCTTTGTTCATCTTGTTGTAAAGCGGGTATGTGACTGGACGTAGTTCATTACAGTTGAGGCAATTACCTAAAGTTATTTATGGGCTTTTTCTGTGAGCTGTTTTACTAGGGACTCCCTCGTAAAACAGATAGTGACCAGAGGTAGGCAATTAACTAAAGTCGTTTTATGACCTCCTTTGGGCACTGTGGACCCCTTCTTCCCCCTTCTAGACCTTGGAATGAATACACAGTTTCAAAGGCTTTCTTTCTCAGATAGCGGAAACAATACATAAGAATTTCAAGGGCTTCCTTCCTTCTGTACTAACATGCTGTTTTTTCTGTGATGTTTGGAACACCTGGCAATGCTATTGGACCAGGCTCAGGACTGCTGAGTTAGTGGGTGAGACATGTCTCCCTCCTCCCTGCCTTGGTTTACTATCTATCCTACCTAACATATCCTTCCCTAATAGTTACCCATTCTAATATGTCTCCACATGTCCTTAAATAAGTATTTATTTTTGTAAATGGGTAATTGTTTTGTGTGCATCGGCTATTGATTTACAAGGAGATATTGTGCTGTTAATATCAATGTTACATTTTAAACCTCAATTGCTTTACATATGATTATTCAGTGCTTCTAACTTTTACCTATATTTTAGTTTGCTAGTCTCCAAAGAATGGCCACCTAAATTACCGTTAGTTTTTCTTACATCACCATTTATAGATAGGATGATCACATTGGTCCAAACTGAGGTGCTCTTGAAATTGTAGGGGAATATTTTGATTACAGGTGTATATCAAGGCTCCTAGACAAACCAGGATATGTGGTCTACCCAGTTTATGGAAGATTGTTCTAGGACACAGCTGATAATCTGCAGATATGTATGGCGATGGTCCTTTACCTTCTGTTTCCAAGTTGACATCTGTTGCAGTTGGTTGGTGCGTGTGCTGGACTGATTATTGCTTATTTTAAAGACTGCTTTTGCTAGAAACTATTCATGAGGGGAAAGTCTGGGTCACAGGGAACAGACATACTTAAAGTTTGAGTTTCAGTCCAGTCTTGTCCTATTAATAGAGGAAGGGACTTTTTAATCTCTCTGTCTTCCTTAACTTTTTACATTTGCACTGTGTAGTTAGCCATCTTTTTTTTTTTAATCAAACTCTCTGGTTTGGGGCTGTAATAGGTACTAATAGTTTATTGACAACTATTCTCAGTGCAGTTACTCAGTATAGCAACTCTCCAGTTTAGAAGGATTTTTTTTTCAGATTTGTTTAGGTTATTGGACCCTAAAAATTAGCTTTTGAGATAGAGTGGGCAGCATTTGTAATCCTTATGTTACAGAAAATGAAGCTGAGGATCAGAAGTACAATGACTTGTTTTAGTCCACATATCTGTTAAGATATGGAGTTGAATTTGTGACCGGGTTTTCTGATTTTAATTTGCTTCTGCAAAATCTAAAATGGACAGGGAAAAGGGTGAATTTCTGTTTGTGGTTAAGGCAGGGACTGTCCAGTTTAGCTTTATGTCTTTTTCAGAACATAACATAGTGCCTGACACATGGTAAATCATCAGTAATTTTTAATGAACACATGGACTGGGGGTCATTTTTAGGTTTGAATTGGTATTGCTGCTGCTACTCAGTGCTTTGGTGACTTCTGTTTATTGCAGCAATACTTTGAACTATAAGTGAATTTTGTTCTGTAAGTATTCTGAAGAAAGGGATTTCACATCAGTTCAGGAGTTCTCATGTTAAGTGGCATGATTCATTTACAACTGAAGTAGCAGTAGGTTATAAACATGCCTGTATAATGTGATTTCTGGAGGGAGTAGACTGCACTTGTTTGTTTATAGAAAATTTCAATAAGATTTCTTCCCCATTTCTTTTTTAGACACTGTTCTGTAGATTTAAAGACCCAGTAGCAAAGCCTCTCCTCTTTCTTACTATTGTACTATATTGCATTCACCTGCTTATTAACACATGCTTCCTACCCAAGATTCCCAGACTGAGCTGTAGTGTTTGGTGAGGATGTTGGATTTCATAGAAAGATTTTTTTCCAAATAATTTGTTCCCATATTGAGAGAGGCTGCTGTTTGGCCACAGACACCTTGCTCAAACCTGTCACAGTTTTGAAGTCATTTCAAAGCCTTCCCTAAGGTAGGCTCCACCTACTTTTCCATCTTATCTGAAATAACTACCCACCATCCTCTTTTCAATACCTGCTACGCACTATAATACAAGTTAAGAGTGTTCCTAGAGAAACCGTTTAGTAGCTTAAATTTTTCCTACCCTACTCTTCCAGGTAGTTGAAATAGTCATCTTCCAGAAGTAGTTCTTTCTATCATGTATCTTAAATCCTTTTCATTCTCTAGCTGCAGATATTCTGTGCACAGCTTATGCTGTTTAAATTAAATATTTCCTGCTGCTTCTCTCTTCAGTCATGTGTTTCCGTAAGTCACAGATTGATTTTCTGGTGCTTATATTAATACTGTGGGCTTTACATGTAAGCTCTCATCCCACTAATGAGTTTTAGAAAACCCACACATGTCTCTGTAAGTATCTGCTTTCTGTTGAAACTAGTAGTAGGCTAATGATTATGGCTGTTCTTCCAAGTGCTACCACATTTTTGTTTATTGTTTCCAGTCTCCTTTCTCTTAGCACCCTGGCTCTGAATTCTACAGTACCTAACAAAGAAAACCCTAGGGAAGTTCCTTTTTTTTCCTTTTCTTTTTAATGCATAGGTAAAATCCCTTTATAGCAATGGTTTTAGTAAACTGAAATCCTTCTCACCACTTAGTGGTTGGCCCATGGAAATAGTACTTTGGTAGTCAGTGTTCTTTCTGTTATTTTATTTTATTTTATTTTATTTTATTTTATTTTAGTGTGTTAAGAACATTTAAGTGATATCTACTCTCTTAACAGATGTTTAAGGGTATAATACACTATTGTTGTGTATAGGCACAGTGTTGTACATCAGATTTCTAGAACTTAACTGATCTTGTGAAATTGAAATTTTATGCTTGTTTAAAATAGTCATTTCTAGACGTAAAGAATAGATGGTGGTTGCCAGGATGGGGAAGAATAAGAAATGGAGAGTTGTTAATCATTGCATAGTCAGTTTTCTACTGCAGATAAAAACTTAACAATCACTCTACCCTGGTATGTGCTTGTACTTGAGGTAGAAAAGGAGAGAAGAGTGAATTTGGCAATTTACTTCTATCATGAAGCATCAGTTACCTTTCTGTTTCCCAGGTTTCCTGCCAACACTTACACTACTGCTCCCTACTCAAAATAGAAAAAAATAAATGAGACTCCCAAGACCATTTCTTCCAACACACCACCGTACACAGATTCTCCCAAAGCCTGGGAGAAGTATGGAAGGGAAAGCTTGGTTAGGAATCTCTCTCCCACTAAATTAGGAATAGTTTATTTGCTAATTAGTTAAAAGCATAGTTTTGTCTCATGGACACAGCTAACCCTGTTACTTTAATAACAGGAAAGTCAAGAATTGAGTCCACTGAATGCCATCAACAGATCAGAATCAAATGTGAATGGAAGCACTCCTTAACAAGAATCACCATTATTTCACTGAGCGTAGGTCTTTTTTTTAATATTCAACAAATCATGTTGATCACTGTGTTTGTATTTTTAATTCTACCTTATCTGAGTGGGCAGCTCTAGATACTCTTTACCTCTGTTGGTGATACTATTCACTGACCTTGCCCATTAGTATTAACAGCTATATCACAGTCTAACTCATCAACCTCCCCTCTCTACTAGGCCTTTCATCTTTCTTTCTCTTCTTTATTTTTATTTTTTAAAAAGATTTTATTTATTTTTAAACAGAGGGGAAGAGAGGGAGAGAAACATGAGTGTGTCATTGCTTCTTACACATCCCCCACTGGAGACCTGGCCTGCAACCTAGCCATGTGCCCTGACTGGGAATCAAACCAGTGACCTTTGGTTCGCAGGCTGGTGCTCAATCCACTGAGCCACACCAGCCAGGGCTCTCTTCTTCTTCTTTAATCCCTTTCTTTTTATTCACCTCTATCTCCTTCACAACTCCTCCATAATTTTCTCAGGGCTGGGCTTCAACATCGTCGGTGGGACAGATCAGCAGTATGTCTCCAACGACAGTGGCATCTACGTCAGCCGCATCAAAGAGAATGGGGCTGCGGCCCTGGATGGGCGGCTCCAGGAGGGTGATAAGATCCTCTCGGTGAGAACTGGCTTCGGCCGCCTTCACTGTCCCTTGCTCCCCAATCCCTGCTTCCTACTCCTAAGGAAAATTCCTGCCTGCCTTTTTGCATCAGGAAATACCCATATTGTACAGGTCAGTGGGAGAGACCTTGATCAGTTGTGTTTTTCAGCCCTACCATAGAATATGGAGTGTATTACCTTGCTTGATAGATGAAGTAAAAGTAAGTCCAGAATGTGAGGTTACCTATCAAAGTTCAAATAACATGAAACGGGGAAGGTTGAGGGACTGGTAGGTGGGGGAGACACTTAAAATCCACAGTTTTTGTTGTTCTATTATACTTTATCACTTCCTTTTTTTGTAGATTAAAATATTAATATATGTTCCTTATATCAAAAGCAGCAAGAAAGGAAATAAGAATTAAATGTTCTTTTTAGACTCAGCCCTTTTCCAGCCATTATTAAGATAAAAAATTGGAATGCAATCTGATTTGGGTATTGGTCCACTGTGTTCCCATTTCACTCTGCTAATGTCTCCAGAGAGACCCTTACTATATGGTAACCATTACTTTTATATTCTCTGAAAGTTCCTCAAGTTAGGGACCAGATCTCTTATTACCTTTTACATTCTAGCACATTGTTCAATATGTATTTAACAAATGAAACAAGTTAGTAAATTCAGGCTAACCCAGCAAGGCTGGCTGATCAGAATATAAATAATGTATCATGAATGGTAATAATCCGTTTTAGTCCTTCTCACTGACCATTTTGCCTCTTCAATTCATTAAGCTTACCCTTTTCATTAATCTGTTGGGATACAAACAGTAATAATCTACCCTTTTTTTTTCCCCCTAAAATTAAAAAAAAATCCTCTCCCGGGCCCTGGCCAATGCGGCTCAGTTGGTACGCCCTGCAAAGTGAAAGGTTGCCAGTTTCATCCCCAGTCAGGGCACATGCCTGAGTTGCAGGTTCGATCCCTAGTCAGGGCACACGTGAGTGGCAGTCAGATCAGTGTTTTTCTCTCATATCAATGTTTCTCTCCTTTTTTTTTTCCATTCCTGTTTCTAATCAATAAATTTTTTAAGAAAGTTTTCACCAGAGGATATATTTATTGATTTTAGAGAGGAAGGAAGAGAGAGAGAAAAAATATTGATGTGAGAAACATCGATTGCACCCCTCCTATATGCACCCCTGCTAGGGATCAAACGTACAACCCAGGTATGTGCCCTGACTGAGGATCGAACCTGCAACCTTTTGATTTATGGGATGACACTCCAACTAACTGAGCTACTGAGCCAGGACTGATAATCTATCTTTTATCTCAAAGAATAGAGGAGAAGTTAAGAAGTAGGTTATTTCCCATAGCTCCAAGGAGAAAGACGTTCTAAAACATGAAATCAACTTAAGTGATATGTTAAGGAAAACTTGAGAGTGGATTAAAATAAAGGTATAGCATGTAGTTAGAAACTGTGCAGTCCAATAATCTGACATAAGAGGGACTTGAAAAGTATAGGGGTTAAGAAAAGAGCCATTTTATTTGAAAAGCTTTGGTTAAAGGTAGGTTATTGAAAAATGAGGATGATTAGAAGTTTTTTGAGGACTATATGTTAAGCAATATGCGGAGAACTTTAAACTTAATTACTATCGTAGTAGCCCTAAGAGGTGCGTACAATGATTATGCCTCTTTTGTAGCTAAGAAAGCCGAGACTTGGTAAGGTCAAGCAGCTTGCTCAGAGTCATACAAGCAGTAAGTGGCAGAGGACTAAAACTTTGGTCTGCCTGAATTTGGAGCCTGTACTCTTAACCAGTATATTATACTGCCTCCTAAAAGGTAAACAAAGAGCTAGGGTTAGTAATCCTAAACAGAAAGTTGTATAGTTAATTAATAGTAGATTTTATGTATGGTTTTATATAAAACTGAAATTAGTCTTTTTATAAAGAGTAGAATTAGACAAGGAAAAAAAAGATGCAAACTGCAATGTGAGAGGACTTATTAGACATAAACTAAGCTGAAGAACCTTTTTTATATGGGCCATTGATTGCCTCAAAGGGAAAAAAATGATTGGAAGACCATTCAAGTCTTTATTATAAAAAGGGTAGGAGATAAAGATCAATGAAGAGAAAAACAGATGTCTAAATAACTAAGCCCACTTTAGAATTTATAGCAAAGAGGATTTCACTTTATCAAAATACAAGAAATATTACAAAGATCCATATAAGGTTAAATATTACAAATATATATTAAACACATTACAAAGAATGATTCAAGTTTGTGTTCTGTTCAGTTAAGAAAAGACATAAGGAAGAAGAGAGGGCAAGTGCAAGTCAGGTATGGAGAGAGATAAAGAACACAGAAAAAGGTGGAGCATATATAGGTGGAAAAGGACAGCATATCCTCTCCATTCTATCTAGGTTTATATCCTTTGACTCCGGTATCCCTTCCAAGAATCTGCTCCAAAATTCTCCTTTCTAGATACCATTCTTTAAGAAACAGTGACTCTGTTGTCTCACTCACTGTCTTGTTCCCTCTCTATCTATCCTTAAGTGAATTGTTAGACATTAACGATTAAACGGTTACATCTATGCATTAGCTCACTTTATCGCTTTGATGTACTTAAGTACTCATTTATGATTGGCTTTGGGGGCTCTGTAAAATGATGCTAAATTATTTATTAATCTACAATCCCATTTATTCTTTATGGGCTTTCCTACTCTACTCACACAGACCTGTGTTGTAAAAACTCTTTTAACTTTTGCTAGATAATCAGACTAAGAATATGCCCCCTCCTTAGCACATACCCATTTTGGATAATTCATAGAAGTATCATGAAATGATCTAGATTTCTTGTCACTTACTGACTATTAATGTAATCTTTGCATTTCTCCCTAAATACCCATATTTTGTCTTAATTTCAAGTTCTAAAAGCAAATAACTACAAATTTATTATGCAGTTTTCCCTTTCTCATCAAAAATGAAATTTAATTTTCATGTGATCACTGTGAATGGTATAAACAAAAAAGAAAGAAAGAAATTTTTTTAGTGAATGTAAATGATGTGCAAGGCCCTGTTACGTCTGACAACTATGAAACAAAAACCCATATTACCAATAGAAGAACAGTCCTGAAGTTGAGAGCGGGGCTGGAGACTTCTCACCCAAAGTTCATTTTTTGTGTGTGATGGTAAGGATGGTTTAATATTTGTATAGGTTACTAGGGAACCTGGGAAAATTTTATTTTTGTGGGAAAATTTTATTTTTGGGGAAAAAAATAGTAAACTGTCTTGGTTTCTCGTTTCCCCTGTGTGTCTGCCTATGAAGGGAGGCGGGTAGTCAAGAATAGTCAACCCTCAGTGAACTAGACATTTTTATGAAGCTCTGGGTGATATAGCTGGCTAATCTACTGCACAGACGAATGTTTCACTTTGACCAAACCTCTCATAGAACACAAATGGCACAGATTGGGCCGTTAGTCAGCTGCATTTCATATTCTCTTCAAATACAATTATTAATTCATATTTGAAATACGAATAATGTAAATGAAAGAGTTGAGTAGTCATCAACGTTTGTCAACTATTGTACTTGATGGCCTGTGGAGCACTGTGCCAGATTCTGTGGAAAATTAAAAGAAAATAAAAGACTTGTTTCTGCTCTGAGCTTAGAAATCAATAGGAAAGCCCTACCAGAAACTCCTCCTTATCTAATCAGCTGCTCAGACATTGAAATACACAGAATCCTTTAGACAACAGTACCTCTAGGGAAGAGTCTTTGTCTTCTCATCTCAGTATCCCTAGCACTTAGGCCTGTAGCTGGCACAGAGTAAGCATCTAGTAAGTTAGTTGCTCTGTGAATGAATTATAGCATAGTTGACATTTTTGGTTGGGCCTGATTAATTGGAACTGGATAATTTTTTTTCTTCCTTCAACTTTGATGAAGAAGGAGATACCCTCTCTCCAAAATTGCAGTTCATTTCAGGATCCTGATAAAAAATTAAAATATCCAGAGTATAATCTGAGGTCAGTGCTTGTGAAATTGAGCCCATTTTTTTCACTACATCTTAAGCATCTACGGTCATATTATCCTATAGAGTTCCTGAAAACTAACATTATCCTGAGGTGATTCAAAATTATTAATCATACAAGAAAACTAATTTTAACTCAGTTTATTCATTTCCTAGGGCATTTTTAAAGACTGCTAACAACCATACTTAAAGCAAAAAATTGTATGTTTTCCTATCAGAACACCTAGAACACCACCATGCCAATTCTCTGAACATTTAGTCAGCAAAATTTCCTAGCATATTTTATTTAAATCTGCCATATCTCAGGTTTAATAAAACTTACTACGTCATGAGTTATGGAAGCAAGTTTAGTAGTGTTCTAAGGCAGGTTTAGTAGTGTTCTAAGATTTCTCAGTTGAGTAGTTCTTGGTACTCAGCTGAGTACCAAGACCATCTGGCCATCACCTGGCAGCCTGTTAGAAATGCAGAGTCTCAGGAGCCTTCCCACGTCTGCATTATAACAAGACTCCTGGGTGAGTGCAAATAACGTGTGAGAAGCCCTGCTGGTGGAAGATGTCTTTCAAACCTTTTAAATTATGACCTGTAATAGGAAATACACATGTGTGCCTATACACACACAAACACACACACATAAATGAAGCAAAATTTAACAAAATAATTCTTATTTCTTTCTGTGATGCTTTCTGATATGTTGTGTTTTCTTCTAATTTCACTTTTAAAAAATTAAATATTGGTCTTGACCCCCTGGATTACCTTCCCTATCTTTTGTAATGGGTCAACAGACACGTATTTTAAAAAATCACTACTCCAGTAAATGGAGAATCACAGATAAAATCTGTGGATTGATGGAATATGTATTAAATAGGGTAAGTAGAGTGGGTATGGAAACCATACCCAGCTAGAAGACTATTTCAGGAGGTTTAGGTTAGAGCTAACTCAAACTTCAGAATCACCTGGAGGACTGGATAAAGCATAGAATACTAGGATAGACTAGGATAAGGCCTGATAGTTTTCACTTTTAACAAGTTCTCAGGTTAATGCTAATGCTGTTGATTTGGGGACCACACTGAGACCCTCTGGTCTATATTAGTAAAGATGGTGATAAGGAAAGTGGATATCCCATATATTTAGGGGTAAAGCCTGTAGAACTGGGTAATTAATAGGAGCTGGAATCTGTAAAAATGCTTAAAGGAGGGACATATTAAAAAGCAAATTGTTTTGGAGTAGAGATGACATTGTCAAGAGGGAAAGAATGATAATTTGTTTTATGGGGCTGGTTTATCTTGGACAAAGGATGAAAAATGGTTCTTTAAAAAAAGAATTTTCCTGTGTGTTTCTAAAAGACCTCTTCTTTGGGGTTATATTTATTTTTTTAAAAAGCAATTAGAGTAAAAGTCCTTTTATATTAGAATAACTTTAGGCTTAACTAGGAGGGTCAAAGGGTTTAATTACCATAATTAGCCTATGCCCTCTATTACACCCTCTTTTGCCTGATGTCATCAGTATCTTCCTTCCTTATTAGCAGAAGGAGGCTCAGGAGAGGCCCAAGATTACATACACACCAAGTCATTAGTGGGTAAAGCTGCTACCAGAGTACAGACCTTTCAGCTTCGTGTAATACTGAAAATATGTCAGTCAGGCTTTGTGTGGCTGTGCCTTTTTGCAGGGTACACTCTGCAACCAAACCTCAGGAAATTATGTGGCATTTATTATACTCAAAGGTTATTCAACACACTATTCAGGTATTATAGAAGTTATAATGATGAATTGATATACAACCTCTCCAAATTATTTACAGTGGAACATAAAGTGATAGGATACAAGGCAGGCTTTAGTTTGAGCTTTAAGGTGGTTACGTAGTACAGACAATCAAAGGAGTAAATCAGTCACAGCTAGAAAGGCCTTGTCAATGAAATGGCAGTTATCTAAATTGCTTTTAAAATTTTAATGCTACCTCAATATATACAAATGAATAAAAATAATATATAAACATTTTCATACAACCCTAAAATTTTCAATGTGTTACATTTTAGATACAATGGAAACTGCAGAATCAATAAAAATTCAGTTTATGACATTAAAGTGATGGGTGGTGGTATGTTACTGAAATAAAATCCTTGTTTCCAGTGTAAATTTCTATAGTTTAGTGTTTTAAAGTGAAGGTTTTGGGGCCTAGCAGCTTGATTTTTGAATCCTGGCTTTGCTGCTTCCATTATATATGCCCATGAACAAGTGGCATAGCCCCTCTATTTTTATCAATAAAATTGGGGCTCCTAACTTACAGGACTACTGTGAAGACTTAATAAGTTAGTACATACAAAATAAACAGACAGCTGCAGAGATGATAATAAATACACAGTGATTCCCAGCAATCCTTACTATGGCAAAGATTCTTCTGAAGTCAGCATTTGTACAATTGAATGTCATACAGTTCTCCCACTTGCATTCATATTACTATGAAACTTGGCTCTGATTTTGAGCTGTGACACCATTGGCATTTGTTAGCATGACTGCATCATTAACTTATTTGTCTGCAGATGAGAGGAAATAAATACCTGTTTTTTAAATGAGAAATAGATATCACATAGGCTAAAATAGTTAAGTGAGTATTCTCACTACAATCAGCAGTCTCACGCCTATACTTCCCCCCAGGAATTAACTAAAAAAATTGAACCATTAAAAAACGCTCAGTTGAGAAATCTTGAAGTTCCCTCCTTGTAGCATATCTACCAAAAAAAAGAAAGAAAGAAAGAAAGAAAAATCAGAATGTGTATTAATAGCATGAAATCAGAGTTCATCAATTAGAAGACCCTGTATTCAGCCCTTTTGGCTGGTGTGGCTCAGTGGATTGGGTGCCGGCCTATGAACCCAAAGGTTGCTAGTTTGATTCCCAGTAAGGGTATATGCATGGGTTTCAGGCCAGGTCCCCAGTTAGGGGTGTGCGAGAGGCAACCAATTGGTGTTGCTCTCCCTCTCTTTCTCCCTCCCTTCCCCTCTCTCTAAAAATAAATAAATAAATAAATAAAACCTTGAAAAAAGAAAAAGAAAACCCTGTATTCATTTCTACACTGTGGGCACCAGAACTAATCCTATTTAAGATCAATCTTGGAAGATAAATAAAATTTTTTAAAAGGAAAGGGTATTCAGATGGTGGATATAGCTTAAGCACAGGTATGAAAGTAAGAATACTTTTTTTGTCCCAGAGTTAATGAGTTATGTGATTTAGCTAGAGCATGGGATATATGAAAAGGAGAAATGAGAGATTAAATTGGGAATGAATTGTAGGTACCAGCTGTTTCCTAGAGGACTTTGCATCTCAGAGTGAGAAGTCAGGCATGCACTCTTTCTTCCCTTGCTCCTACTTCTGTTTTTGTTTTTAAACCATAATGTGATATAAACAATTGTACTTCAGAAAGATTGATCTGGAGACATAGTGTTTGAATAGGGTAGAACAGGGGAGAATGTAGAGGAGGTTAAATTAGAGAGAAGGTGATTATGGTAGTTCAATTAAAAGTATCCACAGCCTAAAGAAAGAGATAATAGAAAATAATAGCATATGAGGAATGTCAATATGTTAGACAACAGAATTTGGCAAATATTATATGTGGAGAGTTTAAAAATTGCAAAAAATAATTTTTAAAAAAACAAAACAAAATATCAAAATTTTAGTCTGAAGGGATGGGTGGTGGTGCCAATTGGAAGGAAGTTGAAATAGTCTGGTTTTATGGGATGTAATAAAGAGGACTTGGAAGTGTTGAATTGGGATCTAGCAGAATATCCAAGTATGGGCACCCAGCAGGAAATAGGTAAACCCAGAAATAGAAGTAGGGATACAGGTTTGGGAGTCTTGCAGGTTACAGTTAAAATTGTGAAAGATCTAATGGGAGAAAAGATAAGAGGACAAAAGACAACTGACATTGAGAGATACTTACTTACCTTAAGAAGGAAGGAAGAAAAAAGAAATTAGGAAAGGAATAGTTCAAGAGCTAAGAGAGCTAAGTATTCATAACAGAGACAGGAGAGAACTGCAGAACGGAGGAATTGGTCTGAACACTGAAAAGGGGCTATGGGATGTGGTGATTGGAATTCACTGCCTAATGGTGAAGCCCAAGGCTTATGCTAGTTGCTGACTGACATGGAATAGAGCTAGGAACTTTAGTCTGGGAAGGCCAAATTGTTGGTAGATGAATTCACCAAGGATTCTGACAGGAGATAGAGTGGAAGGAGTATAAAACTCTAGGAGAAGGAACACGGTAACAAGGAAGATGAGGGGGTTTAACAAGACTTGAGCTTCAGCTGAGCAAAGAATGGTTGGTGAGTCAAAGTAGAGGAATAGTGCAGAAGGAGCAGTAAAATGCATGGTACTTTATTCTTCCTTCCAGTATTTAAAAACCAGAACCCTAGCCCCGGCACTTACTATGCCTTTGGGTAAACTATGTAATCTTGCTAAACTTCAGTTTCTTCATATGTGAAAAAAAGATAAAAAATAGTGTCTACCTCATAGGATTATTATGAGAATTAAATTAGATAATTCATAGTGTAAAGTATATAGCACAGAGTCTACCAAGTAAATATATTAGATGTTTTTGTTGCTGTTGCTGTCATTGACATGCATAAAAGATATGTAGATCTTGTGTAAAGTGGACTATGCTGCATCACTGAATGCAGAATAGGATAGCTACCACTTGTGGCCACTGTCAGTCCTGACACTAAAAAATATTAATACCAGTAGTCCATCACATCTCTCACTTCTTAAGTGATAGGACTGACTCACACTGGAACATTTTTTAGGAGTTTGAGTTTGTAGCATCACAGAAATGTGTCCTTTAGTAAACTTGGGGAGGATAGGAGCATCAATGGAATCAAGGGAAATTGTTCACAATAGAACAAGACCAGTAGAATGGGCTAGGAGATTTGTACCATATCAAAATAAATTGTGGGAGAGTTTCATATAAGTACATTTATAGAGTTGAAGCTGGCAATGCCAGGGATAAGAAAGAAACCTGGAAGACCGTGCGAGCTGTAGGAAGCCAGGCTGATGCTCATGGAAGACATACACATTCAGTAAGAATTCCAAGTGGAGGGCCTGTAGGAGGTAAGGTGGAAAGGGAGTTGTGTTGTTTTTTTGTTTTTTTTTAACTTAGGTGCTCTTCAAATGACCTGTGGAACCTCAGTTCTAGAAAAACATAGCTTTGAAAATGAAAAAAGTTATACTGAGTTCTAAGTGACTACCCATTCTCCTAACCCTTGGAATTTGCTCTGTACAAGTTTGTTTTTTAAATGTTTGGTCACATCAAAGTAAATCTTTGACCTCAGAGAGTTTACGTTCTACCTACTACCACTTTTTCTGGCTGTTTGTGACAGGTAAATGGCCAAGACCTGAAGAACCTGCTGCACCAGGACGCTGTAGATCTCTTCCGGAATGCAGGCTATGCCGTGTCCCTGAGGGTGCAGCACAGGGTGAGTGTCATGTCATCTGCAGTCAGCACCCCGGCACCAGGCTTCCGTAGCGCTCTCGTGAATAAACCCTGTGGTGGAATTTTTGGTGGTGTGTTTGGCTTTTTTGCCCTTTGCCCCCGCTCTTTGGAGGAGTTTGTCCAGCAGGGGTCTTCTGGAGCTCTGCTTATCACTAAAGGAAATTCATATCGATATTCTTGCAACCCAAGTCCTAGCTTCATGGAAACATGCCTTACATGCCTTACATGCCTTACAGATGAAGTTTGGCAACCAAATTAAAATAAATGGGAGAAAAATATAGTCACGGTCAATTTTTTTTTAAGGAAGGAAGGAAAAATGTATGTCTGCCGTTGAACATACTTGTTCATAAAACTCTGAAGACAAAGATGGTGGTGGGTTTTCTCATACCCACTCACTAGGTGCTTTTCCCTGTCACCCACACAAACCCTTTACTTACCAACTTGATGGCTCTCCTGACCGAAGCCCTGATGCTCAGAGGAAAGCTCCAGGAAAACACAAGTGGAATTCAGAGTTCAGTCAAGGCAGCACCTATCCCTGTATCGGCTTCTTAGTTTCTAGTTCTTTATTATTTGAATGATGGGAAGAGAAGCCGGTAGACAAAAGTCCTCCCATAGCGAGGATTTCAGAAGACATTTGCAACATAGTTCAATATATCTTTAAAGATATTCTCTCTTAAATCGATGCTTGGATGTGATTTCTTTTTAACCTGCTTACCTCTGATTCTGTTTATCTCCATTCCATACAGGCTCCACCTTTATCTATGTCTGCCAGTGCACGATACGGGGTGAAGGACATGACCCCATCTTAGGAGGCAGTGGGTGCCTTTTGAGAACCAGAAAGGATTTCTAAATAATGGTGTTGCACCTGTGTGCAATTTATGCTTAGATAACAGATAATTTAAATAACATTGCTCAGATCTCTTATTGTACTCTAATGACTGATAATCTTTCTAAGTAAACATTCTAAGAAGATGGCTGTCCCCCCCTGTCCCGCCCAATAATTTTCAGGATCCCTATAGAATCAATAAACTTCATCTCACATCTTCATTTTCCTGGTATGATACACATATAGTTTGGTGGAGGCAGTACAAAAGCAGAAGGATGTTATCTGACTTAACTTCAGGGATTCCTTTAGGTCAGTAGAACAGAAAGTTAATGCCTTCCCGTCAGACTTGTTTTGTTTCCAAAGAATCTGTGACATTGATGTCAATGTGAGGATGAACGGAGTTAGGACAGAGAGGACCCCCCCTCCCATAGGTAGTGCTTGGGTGTGCCCCTTTGGGTAGTCTAGAGACTTTAGACCCAGGTAATGTGTTAACCTGGACATTTCAGTTGGGGTAAACACACATTGGTCACTAAAGATAATCTTTCCCTTCTAGTTACAGGTGCAGAATGGGCCAATAGGACATCGAGGTGAAGGGGATCCGAGCAGTATTCCCATAGCTATGGTGGTGGTGCCACTCTTTGCCCTCACCATGGTAGCAGCCTGGGCCTTCATGAGATACCGGCAACAACTTTGAAAGCCTTGCTTTCTTCCAGTGCTCCCGATGAAGAGAACATTTCTTCCTTTCTCTCATCCTCCTCCCCTCCACCGTTCTCCCATATACTTTCCCTCTCTCTGCATAGCTCACAGGTGACTTAAAGAGGCTGCTTCACAACCAGAACCTTGCTGTTCAAAATCTGCAAGTCCTCGTATTCTAATGGCAGAGTAAAGGCATTGTTTGAAGAAAAGCTGAAGAAAAGACTTCCTTAGAACAAATGAAGAGTTCTTTATTTTACTGGGACCACCAATAGAAGTTCAGCTACAACCCAAAGAGGGAAAGGTCTAGTCTTCCCATCACTAATAGGTATCATCGCGGGTGATAGCCTGTGTTCTTAGCTGGCACACCTCAAAGACCAGCTATATCATAGAAGAGGAAGAGGGCATTTTTTTCTTTTTAATGATCTTCCTTGGGAAGTTTTTGTGGCCTTTGTTTACTTTCTAACTACATACTGGGTGCCTATATCAAACAAAATATAATGAAGAGAGCATTTTTACTTTTTTAAAAAACAAATTATATATATATATAGATATATATATATATATACATACACACGTGTACACATATGCATAAAATTATAGTTGTAATAGTGATGCCTTATGGAGAGTTAAAGAGGTAAAAAGCTACTACTCTTGTTTCTAGGTTTCTGGTATAAGAATGACCTTAACTGAGGGAGTGAGAGAGAGCGTTACTGGAGGTCCAGCCTGAGTCAGAGAGAGAGAGACAGAGACACTGAAGCACTAATTTAAAATCTTAGAATTCTTACTTCCTCTCGTAATAGTTAAGGTGAAGTGGAGGTAAAATGTCATAATCCAGCTTTGTGCAAGTCAATCTGTTCAAAAAACTTTGAGGTTTAAAGCTAAATATTACCAATCTCTGGTCTACCTTAGTGACTTTTTTGATACCTCACAGTCCTATTAAAGGATCAGCTGGATGATTTTGGTTAGAGCTGGAGTAATGTGGCCAAACCAAGCCAGTGGAAAAATTCTATAATGAAAAAAGATAGTGTTTCCAAGGTGGTGCCTGAACTCCCTCAGGCCATCAACCAGTCTTTTGGTTTCTAGTAACAGGCAAAATCTGAGAGAAGGGACTGCTCCCTGGCAGGATGGGCATGAAATCAGCTTTGCTTCTGATTCAGTTAAGTTGAGAGGGTTTGGGTTTAATTTTTTTAAAAAAAGGTTCCAAACACTAGTTTATAGCTTCTAATGAATGAACTGTTTTACAGGCAAGGGGAAGAAAGAGTTCTGTTTGTTTTAGGGAGCTGGGAAGTTTCATAGGGAAACATTGAGAGAAGGATACAGATGAACGGAAATACTAAGATTAATAATGAGGTGGGAGCTGTCCTGTTTTGGGGGTATTGAAGGTTGGTTTTAAAGCACTAAGGAAAGCTGAACCAAGGCTAATTTTCTGGCTTGAAGAAAATCATTTCCATCTTCCAGATATACCGGCTACACTAAAGGCCTTATAATCTTGACAGGAGTATGAGGACCTTTCCCCTTAGGCAATCAGTTGTGTCTGATTTTTAGCACTAACGATCTAGTGAGTGTTTTACAAGTGTTGATTGAATATCAGCTTTGTTAAGACACTTTTACAAAGAAGTAAATATAGATAGCTTCCATCCTAAAGGGTTGTTTGGTTCCAGTTGGGATGAGAACACCTATACACATAAAATTGGAATTAGCTGCATAGACAGGGCAGTGTAAGTAGGTGTCAAATTTATATTGCAGATAGCTAAAGGGAACAGTTACCAAGAATTGAGACACATGAGAAGTTCCCTGGAGGAAGAGGACAAGTTAAGGACCCTTGAGTAGCTCACAGTCTAGTTACAAGAATTCTTAAGTAGATAAGAATTTAAAAGTATATATCATTAGGATAAATAATGGTTGAAAACAATAAAAAAAGAAATGGTACTATTCACAACACAGTGCAGCAAAAAAAAAAAAAAAGATCTGCAGACAGCCATGACATTTTTTTAAGGTATTCAGAGAAAGGAAGTTGTCACCTAATGACATGATGTCAGAGTGGAAAGGGAAGGCTTTTAAAAATAAAAATCCTAGTAAGGTCTTGCGTCTGGGTCAAACAGTCCTGTAGGGAGAAACTTGCTTTGAACAGTGCTGATGTGACTTACGCCTTCAAACCTGCCTGAACCTGCCTGAAACTGTTCATTACGTTTGAGACTCACTTAGACAACTGCACTTGTATGTTCCAAAGAGAAACACTGACAGTATTCCAGTTGTCACCTCCACCCACCCCGCTGTGGAGGCACAACCTCTGGGGCCCTCCCTGGGTCTGGAGGGGTGTGGTGCTGCTGCAGAGGCCCTGCTTGCCTCCCAGGATTCACCTCAGGGCTTGGACAGTAACTCTTGGAAGGACCTAAGACATGCGTACAAAATGGAGCAAAATGGCAAGCAGGAAGGAAAGCTATTTTTAGTTTTTTATTGGTATGTGTAAATAAAGAACACTTATCCCATCACTGGTAGAAGTTTTACTTTGCTAGATAATAGAGATTGTGATTCACTTTAATAATTTAGAGTTTCTCTGGATTTAAATAACACTTATAGATCAATATATTAACATTTTAGGCAAGTATGCTATTATATAAGATTAGAGTCTGTTGTAGGTCATTAAAAAGATCCATGCTCTTTATAAATTGAATCTAATATTTCTGCCACTTTATAGATTGTATCTATTTCTACCACTTAAATTACTGTGTTCAAAGTTTTAAAAAAATGAATGTAAGTATTTTTAAGACCGTGTACTTAAAATACTTCTCTATATTTATCCTATATTATACATACAATCCTACTAAGACATTGTTTGCTTCAATCATCTATTTCCTTTTCCTGCCAAGTTTTCAACTGTGCTATTGATGTAATTAATCACACCATCCAGCCATGGATAATGGAAAAGGGAAATTAATACTTGTTACTGCATTCTGTGCCAGGTACTGTGCTAAACCCTGATTGATAACAGTATTTGTTTATGCCTCACAACTTGAAATCTAAGTATTGTTATAAAGACTCTTAAGAAGAAAGAATAAAGTTACTTTCCTAAGATTGCATAGGTGGTAATAACAGAACCAGGATTTAAACTGAGGACTTCAGGTGCCACCGTCAATGGTATTTCCTCACTGGCAGTGGTCCTCAAAGGGAGACCTCCAGTTAAAAGCATCATCTCTTGGAACCTTGCTAAAAAAAGCAGATTCTTGGGCTTTATCCCAGATCTACTGAATCTGCTCGCTGCAATCTGTTTTATTAATCCCTCCAAGTGACTGATTCAGCTAAAGTTTGAGAATCACTTCTCTATGTGGTGGTTGTCCCAACTTTCTCAGGTCTGAATTACCTGGAGAGCTTATAAAAATCCTGATGCCCGGGCTGCAGCAAGGCCAATTCAATAGACTCTGGGTGTGGGTGTCAGGCCTTATAAAAGAAAGTTCGTCAGGTGACTCTAGCGTGCAGTGTCAGCAAAAAACGCTCTATGGCATTTAAACCTAGACACCACTTAAGTTACATACAGGCATTGCTCCAACCAAAAATGAGGATTTCACTTGGGCCTTTTTAGAGGCCAACTCTGTGAGCCTCTGCCACATGTATGGATGTGGAATAAGAAGTGGAACATTCTTTGGCTTCCGATTTGCTAAGGACTGACCAACCTCCAGCAAAATGTATTAGTGTTTCAGGTTGTGCATCTGTTAAATTAGAACTAAAATTGTTGGAGCAGAAGGAACCAGAAAGATTCTAGGATCAATCTGTCTTAGAGAAAATCAAGGCTTGGAGAGGTGAGCTACCTTAACCCAGATCACAGACGTCGTTTGTGGCAGAGGTGCTCTTTCCGTCTCATCTTTATGTCTTGAATGTATCCACTACATGAACATACACAAAACTATCCTTTTTATCTTAATCCACTTCCACCTTCTCTCTTCCAGTCTTTAATAAAGACCAGAGGAACTGACTGACTGCTTAAGGGTATTGCAAGCATCATGCATAATTGGGAGATGTCACAATAATCAGAGAGAGATCTAATATCAAATTCAGTGAGTTCTGAGACTAATGCCAATTGTTCTACAGATGTATTTTTTTTGACATTGGACATTGTGTAAATAAGCAACTTCAGATATTTAAAGAAATGAAATAACATAAGGAACATGAAGCTTTCAAGTATGTGGAGGAGTGGAGTTTATGTACTTTCACGTGGAGCCAATAAAGATTTTATTCTAGTCAACTTTAGTTGAAATGTATCTTTGGACAGGTGCGGGTTTCCATTCAGCCAATGAGGTGCTGAAGATACAAAGATAAATAAGGTATAGTCCACTCTAAGCTGAAATTTCATCATCAGAAAGTGGTTAAAATATTTTTCTAACATCACCTAGAAGCAGAAGATTGAAGCTCTCTGCCTCCCAGCTATTACAGGTTTAGACCTGGTTACAATATTGGGGTAAGCCTGTTTTGTTTTCTCTTTTACCTACAAATCTTTGACACCAGTGCTTGCATTCAAAAGGGCAATCATGATCAAAAGGGAGAGTTTTTTTAAGGAATTCTGTTCTCATCTGAACCAGCTTAACTGCCATAGACGTTTGCCTGGTGTTGATAATTATATATGAATTACAAAGCACTTGATCTGTTTACCTCATGCATTTGATGATAATACATATTCTAAGAAAGCATTGCTGTGTCTAAAGAATCAAGTTATAGCAAACACTAGGTCTTGTTTCTAAATGTTGTCCATACTGTTCATGTTCTTTTTTGCAGAGGGGAAAGGGAAAGGGAGGGGGCTGGAGTGTGTTTTCAAATGCAAGTCGATCATTAACAGTCATTTACAAAGAACTTTGTAGTTACTGTAATCATTATATTTATTGACCAATCCCAGGAAAATGAGAGAGATGACCCTTCTTAGTTTGCAGATTGGTAAATGGAATCACAAAATTGAATTGTTTTAATTCTGTGCCTACAGTGCTGATTTGAATATGAATTTATTGTTACTGGATATATGTGCGTTTTACCCCCAGGCCAAATTCTTTCTTATAAGATTATTTTGCTTATGAACCTTACTTTATTTTGCGTGCCTTCTACTTTGACCTTAATGTCACATTGCATGCCTGGATCTAAATAGCAAATAGATACCCTATAGCAATTTGGAAGACACATGGGCATAAAACTATCTTCTAGGGAATATCATTACAGATTAAATATGTTCATGAGGACATCGAAACAGATGAAAATTCTTAAGCTTTGCTCTGTCAGTGTAAGAAACATTTGAACTTGTAGAGAATATTTGGTGAGTTTATTTGAGCCAAACGGCAGTTTCTGGGAAGCAAAACCTCAATGAGTTGAGATAATGCTCTAGAAAGTTAAAGTTTTAACACCTTATTTTATACATTAAAATCAAAGGAGGAGACCTAAGGGGGTTACATGAAGTCCATTGTGATAGATTAGGGAGGTGAGAGGAAGCGAAGCAGAATATCTGGGACCGGATAAAAAGCCAAATGGAGAGAGACATACTTTTACATTGGTGGGTGTACCGTAGTTAACAGTGAACATTTACAGCAGATAGAGGTGGTGTGTGGGAGAACAAGATAACGATGAGAGGCTCTTCAGAGGTCTGGTGCCGGGTGGGAGATTGTGCCCTAACCTGTCCGGATAAAAGGGAATTATCTTGACATTCCAAAGGTACATTATCTTAGATGCAGAAAGGCAACAGACAGGCTCAGTTAAAATAAAGATTGACCTTTGTTAGGGAAAGATACCGGCCTAGGACCTGACTACCCACCACAAACTGCTTTCGTTAGTAAGTTTTAATTTCAGACCATCTTTTGTTGTTACTTTAGGTCTGAGTCTGTAAGGCTGCCACAAAGGCCTTGCCTGAGCTTGTCAAGTTCATATGTGGCCCTTTTTCTCCCACAGCTATTTGGTACCAGATACAGCAAATGAGACAATAGCGTATCTAACTATGCCTAACTCAGTGTTGGCATTCAATAAACTTGTATTTGTAAGTGAATCTTTGTAATTTTTTCCACCTTAGTTTGGAGATTGTTGTATAGTTACTATTTTTTTGTTTTTTGTTTTTGTTGCCAATTTCTTACAGTAGCACCTCTGACAGAACATTGGCAAGAAGAGGAATCTAAATGATTAATTTGAGGCGTAGCTTTGACTAAGGAGATAAGGATACAGGTACTGTTATGCACCACTAATAAATGGCTAACAATTATTCAGCTCTTTCCAATATTTCAGCTACCGTTTTAAGCATGTGTTTATTTAAACCTCACAACTGCTGCTGTTATCCCTGTTTTACAGATGAGACAACCGAGGCCTAGAGAGATGAAGTAATTTGCCCCAGTTGTGCAGCTAGAACCCACATACATAACCACGGCACTGTACTGTCCCTATTCTCCATGGTATCAGGCACTACATTGGGGTGCCCTTCTGCATAACTGACGTCCTAATGACGTCCTAATGACATACCGAATGCCAGCAAATTCTCATAACTATCCAACTGTAATATCAGTAATCCCATTTTTACAGATAAGGTAACTCAAGATTTAAAGAGGTTAAAAACTTGTTCAAGATACATAGCTAGCTAGTTCCAAACATGGGAACTTACTTCAAGCCAACGAGGAGTCCACTATTCAGCATTCCAGAAAATTAAAGTTTATTATACTGAATTTGGTTCAACCCTGCTAGCCCAGCCTTCTTCCATTATGGATGATAGGGAATTGACTAGGTACAAAAAAGCAGTAGCAGTACCATTCTGTATATATAAAGTTTGGAGCCAATTGCTAACCTTTAGTATCTTGTGGCCCCTTCATTCCTGAAAGGTTTACAAAATACATAGAAGGCAAAAATGGGTGTGTGCCATAGGATAAAAAAGCACTTGTCAGAACTGAATATTGACCTTTTGCTGAAGTTATTCTGCGTATAGCTGACTTTGATGTGAACAGAAAAGGCAATTTACATAGGTCACCGTTGCTCTGTCACACAACATAGTGCAGAGGTGGAGTCAAAGTATTAGTCTACAGCTGCAGTGTGTACAAAATGGCCATTTTCTCCCTTGATGGGCAAAGAAAATATGTCAGTTATCAGTTGTATATCAAGCCACTGCAAAACTTAGTGACTTAGCCATATTTGAATAATTAAAAAAAAAAAAAAAAGACCTGTGGGTTGTCTGAGTGTTTCTTCTGCTATCACCTGGGGTCATATGCAACTGAATTCATCTGATGACAGAACAGGGGAGGTAGTCCTAGATGGCCTCTCTTCCCTCTCTGTAAGTTAGTGCTGGCTTTTGGCTGGCCTGCCTTGGTTCTTCTCCACATTCCCTCTCATCTTCACAGAATGGGTGCTGGGTGGTGGTATCTTAGAAGTGTTTTGAAAAGGTAAGCCCCAATGTGGAAAGCACTAATCAAGCCTTTGTATTTTTCACATTAGCTGCTGTCCTATTGGCCAGACCAAGCCATGGCCAAGCCCAGAGTCATTGTAAGAGGGCACCTAAACTCCACCCCTTGATGGGAAGTAGTGCAAATAATTTGGGATCATTTTTAATCCACCACAGAAAGAAACCAGAATTTGAACAGCAAAGACCAGGGGTCTGCAAACTTTTCTGTAAAGGGCCAGATAGTAAGTATTTTAGGCTTTGCGCCTTGGTTCTTTGCAGTTCTAAGGTGACAGCAACCATAGACTGTATAAGCAAAAGTGTTTCTGTGTTCTACTAAAACTTTATTTACAAGAACAGCAGGCCTTGCCAGATTACAGTCTGAGGGCTGCTAACAAAGACGACTGCAGGTTGAGATGGACTTTTAGGAGTAAAATTGGTAGGAGAAATCTTCCCCCCAATGTTGGTCCCATTGAGCTCCAGATTGAAGAGCGTTGACACACTTCCTACGAGAGAGAGAGAGAGAGAAAGAGAGAGAGAGAGAATGAGAGTGAGAGTATTTAAATCTCATCCTCCAAGAAAAAGAGGCCAGGGAAAGTCCACCAAAAATTTCCTCTCATGTAATTTTGGAAATGAATGGAAGAATGACCATTGTCAGACTTGACTGAGCACCCTTCATGGCCAGGACACCATAAAAAATTCAAGGATTCACATAAAACTAATTACATTAAGTACTCACCAGGCACATTGTAGCAGAAGTTACATAGTGCACACATAACCTCATTAGATTGAAATTTTTCCTCCATTTTAAAAATGGAAAAACAACTTTAGAGATGTGCAGTTACTGTCTCCCTAGTAAATATTGGGTTTTAACACTCAAGATTTGAAGCCAGAACTAGAACTTTCTCTGTGCTCCTTATACTCTATCACATTGCCCTTGTCTTTTGAGTTTAAGAAGAAAATAATGTCAGGTAGAAGAAAACTTATTCCTGGAAAAATTATTTGCTACTAGTTACAAAGAATAGTGTCTCTCCAGATGCAGATAGAAGGTAGGGAATGAGAAAGGACTGGTAGTTTTTATCATACCTATTTTGAATATTGTGTATTAATAGAATACTTGAGGTATGTGGTAAGACCAAAAGATCAGGAGACAACTGATACAAATAGCCATAGACACTATCTCCAACTTTATTATTTTTCCTCATCTGATTTTATCGAGGGTGTAAGTCCCAGGTAGTGTTCTAAGAAGATTTCGGCCAAGACCCAGAACGTGGCAGGTACCGCTTACCACATCACTTAAGCACAAACACGATTTAAATCCCTCAAACCCTAAATCCCGAGAGCAAACTAGCGCGCCGGAACCAAACCTCCACCTCTCGAGTTTCCCGGCGGACGCGCGAGTACGTTACGAAGAATCGATTGCTTCTGCCTGGCGGAACCTTGACAGGAGAGGACTCTACAGCGGGAGGCTAAGGCAGGACAAGCGTTTAGTTTAGGGCGTCCCGCTCTGACGGGGAGCTCGAGCTGCTGAGATTCGGAGGCCGCGCTGGGCCTGCCTGGCCGAGGGTCCCAGCGGGTCTGAGAGTTGAGGCATGTTTTCGCACGCGGTAACACGCGCCCTGCGCAAGAACAAGACGCTCCGTTACGGAGTCCCCATGTTGGTGAGTGCCTCGAGGAAAAAGTGCGGGGGCAGGATTGCGGAAGGGGTGGGACTTCAGCTCGACGGTGTCGAGTTGTGCGGGAATCTGGATTAGGAGAAGCGGGGAGCAGTAAGGTGGGCTAGAAAAGGGCTGGCGTTAGGTTGAGAGCATTCACTCCTGTTCTAGTGTTCCCTGGCTGGTAGTGGGATCTGTGGTCTCCCGCTCGCTTTCCCTAGTGCTCCAGAGAGCGATCTAAGAACCAGACTTTAATCCAAATGTGAATGATTACTAAACTCCCCACCCCACCCTCGCCACACACACACTGCCAGCCTCTCTAAACTGGAGGATACTTCGGATCGTTGGAACTAGACGTAGTTACTTCATTTAACGGTACAGTTTCGGGCATCTGCATTTTTCACTTTCCTGGTTTTTGAAGTGGTTTATTTCTTCCAAGGCTGTTGTTAAATAAAAACCTGTCGAGCTGAGTGTTTACACTGCGCCTGCCACATTGTAGCATTCCTAGAAAGGTCACTGTTTATATTTTTAAAGCATTCAGGAGATTCCAGGTTAGTAGTTTCCTCCCTAGTAACCCCGACAAAGACCAGACCATGTTTCCTCCCCGCCCCCCCCCCCGATGTAGGTACTGTGATTGCCATAGTCCAGGAAAGAGACGATAGTGGCCTGGACTATAGTATTAGAAGAGGATATAGTCAGAAATTGTCAGAATGAAGAAATATTGAAAGTCGAGGTTACAAAACTCAGGGATGGATTGGATGTGAGATAGGAATAAGAGGAGCTGAAGAAATTGGCTTGAGTAATTGGATGAACGTAGTTGATGTGCGAAATGTCAAAGATTGCCTAGGGGCTGATTGGGGCAGAAAGGGTATTGGTGTAAAAATCAAGAGGCTTTTAAAAAAATGTTAAGTTGTATGTACCCGTTAGACTTTCAAGTGGTGTCCAATAGGAAGGGAGGTCTTCAGTTCAGAGATATATTTCCCATTGAAAATGTACATTTGGAGGTTGTCAGATTATAGTGGCTAAACTTAAATCCATGAAACTGGAAGGCTGTCGGTTGCAAATAGGTAGAAGAGATGTGAAGGTTGGACAGGTGAGGAATGAGTAGAGGGAAACAGAGGTTGGGAAAACCAGGGGTGTGTCTTCACTGAAACTAAGAGGCAAAAATTGTTTTACTTTACAAAGCATTCTTACATGTTGACATTGAAAGTATTAGATGCTTATGTATAACAGATACTTGATTTGTTGTCTTTTGATTTTATGATGTTTTAATTTCATATGTTTGTTGGGATAGATGTTTTAAATTTTTATGTGGTCAGATTTATTGGGTTTTGAAATTCATAGTTTCAAGGTTTTGTTGGTATTCCAACTTTTTATATTTCATAATGTTTTATATCTTTTTGTAGTTCTTTAATTGGTAATATTAGTACCTTGATATAAAAAGGAAGGTAGAGATAAAACTTACGGTTTTTCTAAATTGCTAGCCTTTGCAACTTTAGGATGAGGAATTAAAGCCCATTGGATTATTGAAGGAGGTGATAAAGCAGCAATGACAATCTGAGGGCTTGTAAGATTGTGATCCTTTTATCACTTGGTAAAGAAATGGAGAAAAATCCCTCGAATTGGCTTATTTTATAAAATCATAAAATTGACAGAATTCTGGTCTTGAAGAAACAAGGCCAGAATTGTTTTCCTAGCATCATCCATTGTATTCATAGACAAGTCATTTAGTTGGTTGTGCTTTTATTTCCTCGTAAGTAAATGGATTACTTTATTTAGTTCATAGGTCTTTTGTAAGGATCAACTAATATAATGCTTGTGCTGATATTATTTGAACCATAAGGTCAAGTACAGGTATGGGGTACAGATTTTGGTATTTGGTAATGTGGTAAATGTTTCCCAGTGGCAGTATATACAGCATCTACTCTGAAAGATGAATGGTAACTAACCAGGAAAAATAATCTACAGGATTTTTTGTCACTGTGTCACTGTGTCATTAGTCACAGTGACTAATCTGTCACTGTTGGCATTTAGATATTTATCTATAGGTAGACTGAATTCTGCCCTTCTATTTTGTTTAATTGTTTCCTTTCTTTGTTTCAGTTGTTGGTTGTTGGAGGTTCTTTTGGTCTTCGTGAGTTTTCACAAATCCGTTATGATGCTGTGAAGATTAAAGTAAGAACAACGATTGGAGTTTGAAATGTGTCTGTGATATGTACGTTCTGGTTTAGGGGATGTGTTGTGTTCAGTACATTAAGCAGTCTTGAGTTTTGTCTAGCTGTTCAAGACTGATACATGATGATTAGGCTGTTTCTTATTCTTTAAAATAACATTAACGATCACATGGAAATGAGTCATGAAGTGTAAAGAATTTAGTAATTGTTCTCTTCACTCACTAGAAAATTTGCAATATTGTTAGCATTCTGCCACATGTACTCTGGTGTAGTTGTTTTTAGGATTTAGAAGGGAGTAAAGAACATGGGATAACAGTTTCACTCCATTTTATTATTTGTTATACATTGGCTATTTCATATTAATACCAGTAATTTTATAAATTACATTGTTATGCATCATTAGTAACTAATGCTGAAAAAAGAAATTCAAATATAGTAAAAGTAGAATTGAAGTTCAAAGTAATCCTCTGTCCATAATTGTTGGGAACCGTCCCACGTGGTTTCAGGAACTGTAGCCCTGGAAACAGGCGAGAGGGCCCCAAGGCTGGAGCTGAGCAAGGAGGCCTTGGGAAAACAGGCCACTGAGGGGACCAAAGCTGTCCCCCTGGCAGGGGCTCAGCCCCTGCCTCCCTCACATCACCCAGCTTGGCCCCGGAGGATGGCTGGTTAGTCAATGATGGTTAAGACCCCTCGGTGGCAGGGGTAACCTAAGACAGGCACAGTCACATGGCCATCAGGGAAGAACTTGGAGGACACAGACAAAGGGCAAAAGACCCTCACCCCCGAGCTTTGATATGGGCGGAGTCCTCATTCTATCTCAAAGAAGTCTCCTTATCTCTTTGCGCCTCTGCCCTGCCAGCCTAGCTCAGGCTTGAAACAATGCTAAAGGCAGGCGCAGCCCTAAACTGGATCAGGCTGTTCTGGGGACAATTAGGCCTAGAAAAGGAATGCATTAGAGCATATGAAACTTACTTTGCTAAGAATGCCCTCAAGTTAATGAGTACTGATGTTTGGGGTTGAGCAAAGAATGTGATCAGTTTCTCAGGTTTCAGGGCTGAATGGGTGCCACCCTGACCTAAGGCAAATCTCTTGTGTTCCTTCAGTTGTTATCCATGATCTCTGTTTTCTGTAAACATAGCCTTTTGACATTGATTGATGAGCTTTGCTGTATACCCCGGTGCATTTGGTTCTCAATTAAAGCCACTTCAAGAGAAGGGCTCGGGGCATTTCCCCACTAGAGAGAATTGCCATCCCTTCCCCTGGCAGACCTAGAGAAAAGTGTCTGGGACGACTTATTTTATTTCCCCATCCGTGACAACCTGGAGCATGCTCTGCGGGACAGAGTCTGCGTCTTCACCTCAAATAATCAACATTGAAGAATAGTTTCATTTTTAGTATTTTAAGTGGCCGATGAACAGTCTTTTTTCTCATCCCTTTATAGGTAAGCTATCTTTCACTCTTTTTTTTCTTTTGAGATTTTTTTTATCCCTAGTGTATTCTAATGTTTTCCTATTGATTAATAAGGGGCATTTTTTGGGGTTTATTATGGGTTTTTTTGTTTTACTGTGTTCTTTCAGTCTGAGGACTCATTTCTTTTCTATAAGGTTTCATTTAATTACTGATTAATTATTTAATTATTGCCCTTATTTCATTCTCTTTACTCTCTAATTCTGACCCCCCTACTAGACATATGTGGAACTTTTGGATCTAGCTTTCATAATATACCTTTTCTTTCATTCATCCCATCTCCTTGTGTATCATTGTAGTGGATTCCTCAGGTTGTATTTTTAGTGTACTAATTTGGTCCTAAGCTGTGTTCAGTAACTGTTCAGCTATCCCATTTAATTTAATTTGGATTTTGTTGTTGCGGTTGCTTATTTATTAATTTCAGCAATCACATTTTTCTTTCCTAAAACCTTTGCCACACAAAGGTAATATTGGCATCAGCTTCTATTTACTACCATGGAATCGTATCTAATTTTCACAGATACTTGTTTCCAGTATGGAAGATGTTCTTTTTTGTTTTCAAGAGCAGCATTCTGGTTATTGGTGTTTTCACAATGTTTCTGGGTAATAACATAATTTAGGGTGGTGGTTAATAATGTGGACCACGGGAGGCAGAGGGCCAAGGTTCAAAGCCAAGTTCTGCCTCTTTGACAAATTATTCAAACTCTCTGTGTCCCATTATCCTTAGCTGTGATCATTATAGTATCTCATAGGTTTTTGTGAGTGTTAACAGAGGTAATATATGTCAAAATGCCTGGCATATAACAGGTATTCAGTAAACGTTCTTAGTAGTAGCAGTGGTGGTGGCAGTACTACATCAGTTATCATTATGTGATTGGATGGATGAATAGTGAAGATTTTGCCATGTTTTGTAATCTATTATACTGTCCTAGCCATCCCTTATATAACATTAAATTGAAAATTAAATCCAACAGACTTAAATAATATATGGCTCCTCATATTTTTTTTTTTTTACAGATTGATCCTGAATTAGAAAAAAAACTGAAAATGAATAAAGTGTCACTGGAATCAGAGTATGAGGTACACACAGTATGTTAATATAGTCTGTCTTTTGTAATAATCTTCCTTGTCAGTGACTGTTTCTTCTGCTTTAAGGTAGGTAAATTTAAATTAACAGTGCAGAAAAAAAAATTTAACTTATGGAGGGATTAGTCAAAGAACATAAATGAAGGATCTATGGACATGGACAGCGGTGTGGGGACTGATTATGCAAGTGGGGGGTGGGCCAGGTGGAGGGGAGCGAAGCGGGGAAGATGGGACAACTGTAATAGCATAAGCAATAAAATATTTAAAAAAGGAAAAAATACCTTAAACATATGGTATTGGGACAACTATGTAGTCATTTGAAAAGAACAAAGATAGATCTATATTTCATATACTATAAAAAAATATATTCTAGGTGGACTAGGAATTTAAAAATTAGCCTCGACTGGCGTGGCTCAGTGGGTTGAGTGCTGTCCTGCAAACCCAGAGGTGGCTGGTTTGAGTTAGAGTTGGGCACATGCCCGGGTTGCCAGCCAGGCCCCTGGACGGGGATGTGCGAGAGGGAGCCGACCCACGTTTCTCTCGCACGTTGATGTTTCTCTCCTTGTCTTTTTTTACCTCCCTTCCTCTCTCTCTAAAAATAAGTAAATAAAATCTTTTTTAAAAATTAAAAAATTAAAAAAACAAAATGCTGAAAGTGTAGGAGAAAAAAAAGAACATTCTTTTCTGTAACATTAAGTCAGAAAAGTCTGTTTAAAATAATGTGATACCAAACCCAGGAGCCTTTTTTTTTTTTTTTTAATCCTCACCTGAGGATATGTTTATTGATTTTTAGAGAGAGAGAAACATCGATTGGTTGCCTCCTGTATGCATCCCAACTGGTGATCGAAACTGCAACCTTTTGGTGGATGGGATGATGCTCCAACTAACTGAGCCACCCAACCAGGGCAACCCAAAAGCTTTAAAAGTAAAGAATGATGAGTTTATACACAAAAATTACAAAGTTCAGCCTTAAAAAAATGTATATAAAGTCATTAGTTAAATGAGAGATCCTAAGAATATTTTTTATGTTGTTATGATGAATTAATTTATTTAAATTAATCATAATGGAAATCAGTATGGAAAAGTTCAGCAATTCAGTTAGTCAGTAGGAACATGGGCAAAGCATATAAAGAGTTCAGAGGAAGGGAAATAAATATCTTAAGCATATGAAGAGATGTTCAACTTATTATAGGAATATTACTTAGCAAAAATCAAAGAGTTTAATATTATATAGAATGTGGTGAGGGGGGATGTGCTTCATCTCTTTTAGTGTGTTCATTTTTTGGTTGTGGATTATACCAGGGTGGGCAAAAGTAGGTTTACAGTTGTGAGTATGTGAAACACAGGGTTTATTCTATTATTTATCTATTTATTGTTGTATTATTTATTTGTATTCTGTAAACCTACTTTTTCCCATCCCTGTGTTTTTCCATTTCTTTGTGCGTTTGAGCATTTCTTTAAAAGAGATTTTATTTATTTATTATTCTTAGAGGAGAAGGGAGGGAGAAAGAGAGGAAGAGTAACATCGATGTGAGAGAAACATCCAGCTAGGGACCAAACCCAGACCCTAAGCAGGTGCCCCTACCAGCAATCAAACCAGTGACCCTTTGCCTTGTGGGGCGGCACTCCACCAACTGAGCCATACTGGTCAGGGCTGTGTTTGCCCTTTTTTCGTTGTTGTTGCTTTGTTTCTCTTTTAAATTTAGTTTTTATTTTATTTTATTACGGTTTAACAAGTGAAATACTTCTACAAGCCTCTTTATTAAAACAGCAGTACATGTTTCTTTTTGGGATGATGAAAATGATCTAAAGTTAGATTGTGGTGATGGATACACAACTCTAAATACACCAAAACCCATTGAATTTTACACTTTATTTTTATTTTTAAAAATATTTTATTTATTTGTTTTTAGAGCGAGGGAAAGGGAGGGAGAAAGAGAGACAGAAACATTGATATGAGGCAGAAACATTGATCAGTTGCCTCTTGTTTGTGCCCTGACCGGGGACCAAACCTGCAACCCAGGCATGTGCCCTGACTGGTAATTGGACCTGTGACTGTTAGCTTTGCAGGATGATGCCCAACCAAGTAAGCTACACCAGTCAGGTTGATTTATACACTTTTAATGGAAGAACAGTATGGTATATAAATTGTATCTCAATAGAGCTGTTATAAAAAGGGGAGGATAATAAATATATCCAAAAAAGGGGTCTCCGGTCACCTTCCTTCTCACCAGAGGCAACCAATATTTATTTTGTTCAATTTTGTATGATTTCAGGTGTACAGCTCAGTGGTTTGACAATCATATACTTCACACAGTGTTCCCTCGATATTTTCAGTACCCAGCTGGCACCATGCATAGTTATTGCAATGTTATTGACTATATTCCTCCTACTTTATATCTCCATGACTTTTTTGTAACTACCAAATTGTACTGCTTAATCCTTTCACCTTTTTTGCTCAGTCCCCCAAACTCCCTCTACTCTGGGAAGCACCAGCCTGTTCTCTGTGTCTATGAATCTGTTTAGCTTTGTTCATTTATTTTGTTCTTTAGATTCCAGATATAAGTGAAGTCATATGGTATTTGTCTTTGACTGACTTATAGTGGCAACAGCTTTCAACTAGAGTGATATTTTTCTCCATATCTCTAACTAGTTTGCTTGCAATGAGATTTCTTGTTAATTTGGTTTTAGGCATTCACTATTAATTTTCCAGTAGAGAATAAAAAACATAAGGTTTTAGCTTTCTTTTATATCACTTTCCTTAGTCTGCAGTGTGCAAAATGCACACTTCCCATTCCCCCTCCTTCCCATGTAGTGTTATGAGTATTTTCATTGGCTCCATATTCTGTGTTTACTTTAGCATGACATTGAAAACTATTGGCAGCTGCGCTGCCCAGTTGTGTGATGTGGAGGAGGGGACCCACCGGTGTAACTGATGCTTAATTTGTTAACCTCCGTTTTTTCCCCTCTCTGACTGCCACTCCCAGAGGTGCCCGGGATACCCAATTCCTAAATCTTTGGGTGCATCTATAGTGCAACTCATTTTATTGAGGCTTTCCATGGTGGTCTTGGAATACAATCTATTTTTTTAGGGGAACCCCTAGGTTATTTAACCCTTATTCATCTGCTGTGCAATTTCTTAAATTTTGTTATTTTCTCATCTTCTGTTACCCTGTTTTAAAGTCCAGTATATTGATATAATTTACATACCATACAATTAATTCATTCAAAGTGTACAATTCAATGGCTTTGGTATATTTGCAGAGTTGTGCAACCATCACCACAAGCAATTTTAGTACATTACATTTGTTAGTGTGTGTGAATTTACTTAAAGCTTTCTTTACTGTATCTGTAGTGGGATTTCAGGAGGTAGTGAAGAGAAACACATGTATTGGATCTGTCATATTTTACCATAGCTTCTATTTAATATCTTTTTATCAGTTCTTTGTGATTTATTAAATTTAGTCATTATCTAATGGCTTCTTGCTATAATAGAAGAATTTTGAACTCAGTTATACCCTCTTACTATTGTTATAGCACTATTTTTAGTGCCTTCATTAACAATCTTTTTAACTTGAAACACTTTGGCCATCTCTGTTTTCTGTACTATGAGTTATAGATAGCATTTCTTAACCCTATTCTCTCTCTCTCTCTCTCTCTCTTTCTCTTTCTCTCCAGAGGGCATTTACTTCTCTTTTTCTTTTTTTGAAAATATATATTGTATTGATTCTACCATTACAGTTATCCCATTTTTTGTCTCCCTTTTTCCCTCTGCTCTGTACACCCCATCGTACCAGCATTCCCCCCAATGCACCTTAGTTCATGTCCAAGGGTTCTAAATAGAAGTCTTTGGCTTCTCCATTTCCTATACTATTCTTATCCTCCCCCTGTCTATTTAGTACCTACTGTTTCTGCCTCTTACTCCCTCTTCTTTCCCCCATTCTTCACCCTACCTCTCCCCTCCAATCTCCATTTCTGTGATTCTATTCCAGTTCTAGTTGTTTGCTTAGTGTCTTCTTTTTTTTCAGGTTCAGTTGTTGAGAATTGTGAGTTTATTATTTTATTATTCATAGTTTCTGATCTTAATCTTTTTCTTAGATAAGTCCCTTTAACATTTAATATAATGAGGAATTGGTGATGATGAACTCCTTTAACTTGACCTTATCTGGGAAGCACTTTATCTGCCCTTCCATTCTAAATGATAGCTTTGCTGGGTAGAGTCATCTTGGATGGAGGTCCTTGCTTTTCATGATTTTGAATACTTCTTTCCAGCCCCTTCTTCCCTGCAAGGTTTCTTTTGAGAAATCAGCTCATAGTCCTATGGGAACTTCTTTGTAAGTAACTGTCTCCTTTTCTCTTGCTGCTTTTAAGATTCTCTCCTTATCTTCAATCTCGGGTAATGTAATTATGACGTGCCTTGGTGTGTGCTTCCTTGGGTCCAACTTCTCTGGGACTCTCTGAGCTTCCTGGATCTCCTGGAAGTCTATTTCCTTGGCCAGGTTGGGGAAGTTCTCCTTCATTATTTTTTCAAATAAGTTTTCAATGTCTTGTTCTTCCTCTTCTCCTTCTGGCACCCCTATGATTCAGATGGTGGTATGTTTAAAGTTGTCCCAGAGGTTCCTAAGCCTCTCCTCCTTTTTTTGAATTCTTGTTTCTTCATTCTATTCTGGTTGGATGTTTATTTCTTCCTTTTTGTTCCGAATCGTTGATTTGAGTCTGTTTCCTTCCCTTCACTGTTGGTTCCCTGTATATTTTCCTTTATTTCACTTTGTATAGGCTTCATTTCTTCCTTTATTTTCCGTCCGTACTCTATCATTACTGTGAGCATCCTGATTACCAGTGTTTGGAACCCTGCATCTAATAGTTTGGTTATCTCCTCATCACTTAGTCCTTTTTCTGAAGTTTTGATCTGTTCTTTCTTTTGGGCCCTATTTGTTTGTCTTGGAGCACCTGTTGCATTGTAAGGGGCAGAGCCTTAGGTATTGGGGGGGCAA